ATAAATTTTAAAACTAAAGTACTTATACAGGGTGTTTTAGTCATCTGCAACTTTATAGTATCAGTGAAAATATGATTTTCCATCCCCTTTCTTCTTCATTCCTAAAATTCATTTGTAATTTGATGCACACATTTAGGTGCATTTGTCACAGTCTGAAGCCCATCTTTCTTCTGTATTCAGGTTGATTTTTAAAATGTTCATGCATTAAAATTCACTTTTTTGAGGTGTGTGTTCTATGGATTTTGATGAATGTGTAGAGTAAGATATCTAACACTGTTCTGTACATAACAGTTTCATCACCTTCAAAATTTCCTCACACCACTCCTTTATAGACAACCTCTCTCTCACTCCACACTCCTCCTTTTCTTTCCTCAAAATTTGCCTTTTTCCAAGTGTCATGTAAATGAAATTATGTAATATATAGCCTCTGGCTACTGACCCTTTTCCTTAGAAAAAAGCTTTTAAGATTCATCTATTTTATTGCTTGAATCAATAGTTTATTCCTTTTTTATGTCAAGTAGTATTCCAAAATATGAAGATATCTTTCTTTCCCTATACATAATTTTTATTGTGAATTTGTAATATTTCATATATACATAAGGACTATTCCACTGTATAAGGCAGCTGAACAGTTTATAATGCTGAACTCTAAATAATTTCTCCAAGCATCAGCTTGGCCATCAACCTCTATTGTTCTTAATGCATTCACCAGTTGAAGGATATCTTGGTTGGTTCCAGTTTTTGGTGGTTATGAATAAAATTACTGTAAACATTTTTATTGTTGTTCAATCACTAAGTCATCACTGACTTTTTATGACTCCATGGACTGCAACACACCAGGCTTCACTGTCCTTCACCATCTCTTGGAGCTTGCTCGAACTCATGGCCATTGAATTAATGATGACACCCAGGTACAGATTTTTGTGTAAACATAAGTTTTAAAATTTTTATGGGTACATATATAAAAGGGAGATTGCTGGTTCATATGACTTAATGTGCTACTGGATTTGTTTCACTAGTATTTTGTTTAGAGTTTTTGCACCTATGTTCATAAGGGATACTGGTCCAGACTTTTTCTCTTTTGATTTCTTTTTCTGTCTTTGATATCTAGGATAATACTGGCCTGTATAGTGTCTTAGGAAATTCCCATTTCTTTTGGCTTTTGCAGGAGTTTGAATTTCTCACTTCTCTAAACGTTAGGTGGGATTTACCATTAGAGCAATGTTATCTTGAGTTTTTCTCTGTTGGAAATGCTTTAATTACTGACTCAATCTTGTTTTTTCCTTAGAGGTCAATTCAAATTTTTAATTCCCTTGAGTCAGTTTAGGTAATTTATATATATTGTTTATTTCATCAAGGCTATCTAGTTTTTTGGCATACAGTTGTTCACAGTAATGTTTTAATCTTTTTTATGTCTGTCAACTTGGTAGTAATGTCCCCACTTTCATTCTAGATTGTAGTGATAGGTGTTTCTCTGTCTCTTTTTTTCTTCTTGGTGATTCTATCTAAAAGCTTGTCTTTATATATATATATTTTTTTCAAAGGTCAAACTTTTCAGTTAATTGGTTCTCTATATACATCTCCTATACTCTGTTCTTTTCTAATCTTTATTATTTTGTTCTTTCTGCATATGTTGAGATTAGTTTGCCCTTCTATTTCCAGCTTATTTAGGTGGAGGTTTAGGTTATTGATTTAACACCTTAACTCTTTTTAATGCAAGCATTTATAGTTATAAATTTCTCTCTGAGCACTGCTTTTAATACATTCAATAAGTTTTAGTACTTTTTGTTTACATTTCACTCATTTCAAATATTTTCTACATCTCTTTTTAATTTTTTTCTTTTTAAGAATGTGTTAATCTAACATATTTCTGAATTTTTAAAATTTCCTTCTGTTATGGATCTGTAACTTTATTCCATGTCATCAAAGAACATATTTGTATTATTTCAATCTTTTTAAATGTATTGAGACTTGTTATGTGACCTAACATGTGGTCTACATTGAGAATATTCCATATGTACTTGAGAAGAATGTTTACTTGCTATTGTTGACTGAAATATTTTATAATTGTCTATTAGGTCTCTTGGATTAATAATATTATTCAAGTCTTTAACAGACTTCTTGGTCTATCTAGTTGCTCTATCCATTACTGAAAGTGAGGTATAAATATCTCTGTTATTGTTGAACTGTTTCTCCCTTGAGCTGTTAGTTTTTCTCCATGTATTTTAGGGCCCTGTTGTTAGGTGTATATATTTTTATAATCATTATATGAAAGAGTAACCCTTCTGCTATTATATATGTCCTTTGTCTCTTGTAATAGTTCTTGACTTAAAGTTTATTTTCTCTAATATTAATAGCCACTCCAGCTCAATTTGATTACTGTTTCATGAAATATTTTTTATAGTCCTTCACTTAAAACCTGTTATGTCATTGGATGTAAAGTAAAGGTCTTTTGAAGGCATACAGATGGATGATTAAAAAAAAAATTCCATTCTCTGGATCACTGCCTTTTGATTGGAGAGTTTAATCCACTTGTATTTAAAGTAATTACATATAACAGAGGACTTATTTCTGTTATTATACTGTATGTGTCTTATATCTTTTTCTATATCTAATTCCTTCACTACAGCATTCTTTCCAGTGAAATAGATATTTTCTACTGTGCATTTTTAATTCCCTTACTGGCTTCCTAGGTGGTGCTAGTGGTAAAGAACCCTCCTGCCAATGCAGGAGGCATAAGAACTCAGGTTTGTTCCCTGGGTTGCGATGATCCCCTGGAGGAGGAAATGACAACCCAGTCCAGTATTCCTGCCTGGAGAATCTCATGGACAAAAAAACCTGGTGGGCTGCAGTCCATGGCATCATAAATAGTCAGACACAACAAAAGTGAGTTAAATTATTGTTTCTTTTAATATATTTTAGAGTTATTTTCTTAATCATTGTCATGGAGATTTCAATTAAAAACTTACAACATTTGACTCAAATTTTGGTTTAATATCAAAATGATTTTGATAGTATCCTGTATACTATAGAGCTCTTTTCTCTCCCCCTCTTCTTTCAGCTATTATGGTCACAAATTACATCTTTATATAGTGTATGCCCATCAGTATAAGTTTGTAAATGTTTTCTGCAATTAACTTTTAAATAAGATAGGTAAAAAAAAATGAGTTTCAAACAGAAAATACATTAATTCAGCCACTAAAATATTTCCTTATGGTTTTATGCAGCAAATGAGGCTGGGACTAGAGTAAGTAAAAGGGGACAAAGTTTGTTCTTCTTAATGAGCTCAGCCATATTTTTCAATTCAGCTTTGCCTGGATTGCTGCAAGTTTTTAATTAGCTTCCAGAGATACAAAATGTTGATACTTAGAATTTTTTGCCATTTTTTTTTATTTTATGAAGAGGTAGTCTTTTGGAATTCCTTATATCACTATCTTATTTGATATTATTCCCTTTGTATAATTTTTAAAAATAAAAATTTAGTTCACCCTTGAATAATACAGCTTTGTACTGCATGGGTTCATTTATATGCAGATTGTTTCAATAACTATATACTACAATAGCAAAGCCTTTGACAATGTGGATCACAACAAACTGTGGAAAATTCTTAAAGAGATGGGAATACAAGACTACCTGACCTGCCTCCTGAGAAATCTGTATGCAGGTCAAGAAGCAATAGTTAGAACTAGACACGAAACAGTAGACTGGTTCTGATTTGGGAAAGGAGTGCGTCAAGGCTGTATATTGTCACCCTGCTTATTTAACTTATATGCAGAGTACATCATGAGAAATACTGGGCTGGAGGAAGCACAAGCTGGAATCAAGTTTGCTGGGAGAAATATCAGTAACTTCAGATATGCAGATGACACTACCCTTATGGCAGAAAATGAAGAAGAACTAAAGAGCCTCTTGATGAAAGTGAAAGAGGAGAGAGAAAAGGTTGGCTTAAAATTCAACATTCAGAAAACTAAGATCATGGCATCTGGTCTCATCACTTCATGGCAAATAGATGGGGAAACAGTGGAAACAGTGGCAGAATTTAATTTTTTTGAGCTCCAAAATGACTGCAGATGGTGACTGCAGCCATGAAATTAAAAGCCGCTTGCTTCTTGGTAGGAAAGTTATGACCAACTAGACAGCATATTAAAAAGCAAAGACATTACTTTGCCAACAATGGTCCATTTAGTCAAAGCTATGGTTTTTCCAGTAGTCATGTATGGATATGAGAATTGGACAATAAAGAAAGCTGAGTGCCAAAAAATTGCTGCTTTTCTTTTTTTTTTTTTTAAAGCAGTTATAGAACTTTTATTTGCATGTTACACCTCATTAACTTATCTAAGAATTAGTTGAAATGATAAAAGTATTAATTATTGCAGCATAAAGAAATAACATTTTTACAAGTTACTTCAATAACAGAACTATTTTATTAAACATATGAACGTACTTATTTTGTACAACACGCATTTCTTTCTCTCCTCTGCCCCAGGAAGCCAGCACTCTAGAACCCCAAGTTTATAAAAACACACTTTTGGCAGCTACTATGACAAGGTGAAAAAAGTGCAATTCTGAAAGTAACACCACACAACCAAAGTGGGGAACCAAAAAAGGCAGAGGTGAGTAGGCCCAGTGCTGCTCATCTTCTCTCAAGAGGAAACAATTTAAGAATAGAAACTCTTGAGCATTATTTAAGCAGTACTGCCCAACTCTCGTGGTGGCATCTCTCTTTCAATTCCATTTATTTTGATGTTGTAACTAACTAATCTGTTACTTCTTTAAGAAATTCTGCCCTGGTTTATATCCTTTTCAGTGGCCCATATCCCTTTGAGCTTCAAAAACACAGAAGAGTAGTAGTAAGTTTCAAAAGGATGTCAGTTGAAATCTTTTACAGATGAAATCTACTTCCTAGAAGTCAACCCGCCAATTATATGCACAGCTGGTGACAAGAGGCTGCAAAAAAAAGGTCCAACTGGAAAGTATCTCAGGTACCCAGTTAGATCCAATTATTCTGCGTCTGTGGATTTAAAATGATCATCATCCACGGTGGAATAGATGTGTCCCTCGTTGCTTAGAAAATCCACAGCTAGCTTGATTGAGGCTACAGACATGTGTTGGAGTTGGTTCTTGAGATCCTGAAAGTTCAATCCTTCAGGTCTTGGGCAAGCCTTGATCAAATTCAGCACCTGGTTCTGGGCCACAGTGAGGCCATTTGCTGGTATGAAGTTATTCCCACTGAAGTTCCCAACTTCACCCATTCCTGGATTGCTGATAGGTGCTCTCCCTGCTGAGGGCTGGCTGTTCGGCTTGCTCAGAATCATGTGTGCATTGACTACTTCCAGAATATGTGTGGTGAACTCATTCATATCCTCCAGGGATGATCTTAAAGGCTACCAGGCTTTTCTTGTTCTGGAATGATCTCAGATGACCAGCCACTTTCATGTTTCTGGAGGGACCACAGTGTTTTCACTGCTGGCATCATCTGTGTCAACCCATTGGCGAACATCCATGGGTGCAGCTGTCATGTCATCTATCTTGTAAACAATGTTGGTTGCAGCCTTCTCTGCATTTCTGATTATCCCCACAATAGTGACCTGTGAAATTTCAACATTTCCAATTCTGAATACTTCATCAACCAGAGTAGCAGAAAGCAGTTGAGATATGGTACAGGGTACAATGTGCTGAGCTCGAGCTCTCGATTTCTTTTCGGCCTGTGAAGCTGTCGGCGATCCAAAGCCCCCAGGGGACTGTGTGTAGCTGCTGGCTCCCCCGAAAGAGGAGGAGCTATAGCTTTCAAATCCACTGTTCCACATCTTCGACACGATTCCCTCAGGAGAGAGTTCCAGAAGGTTCCCGTCTGGTGGGTTCGCCGACCCCCTCAGCACCCCTGCTGCTCCTGCTGCGCTCAAATTGCTGCTTTTCAACTGTGGTGTTGGAGAAGACTCTTGAGAGTCCCTTGGACTGCAAGGAGATCCAACCAGTCCATCCTAAAGGAGATCAGTCCTGAATATTCATTGGAAGGACTCATGCTGAAGATGAAACTCCAATACTTTAGCCACTGATGCAAAGAACTGACTCGTTTGAAAAGACCCTGAGGCTGGGAAAGATTGAAGACAGGAGGAGAAGGGGACACAGAAAATGAGATGGTTAGGTGGCATCACCAACTCAATGGGACAAGAGTTTGAGTAAACTCCGGGAGTTGGTGATGGACAGGGTGGCCTGATGTGCTGCCATCCATAGGGTTGCAAACAATCAGACAGGCTTGAGCAACTGAACTGAAGTGATACTACAATACTACATGATCTGCGGTTGGTTGAATCCATGGACATGGAACTGCAGGTACAGAGGACTGATTATAAAGTTATCTGTGGATTTTCAGCTTCCCCCTACCTCCCGCATTGTTCAAGGATCAACTGTTTCCCTCTATTTCCAGTAGCCTTGCATCATTCATTGTCAGGTATTTTTCTAGAGGGAAAAATAATATTTTAAGTGAAAAACATTGTGAGCAATTTAACAGTCTACAAAAACTTCCCTGGACTGATAGATTTTTTTAATCATTGTAATAATAAGAAGAATAAGAATATATGTCTTCCCTGAAGCAGTTATTGTGTGCTAGGCATTGCCTATGTGTTTTATATGTATTATCTCACTTAATCCATGTAACAACTTTGTGCTGTGGTGACTTTTATTATCCTCATTTTATATATGAGAAAACTAAGGTTTAAAGAGATTAAACTAAAGGTCATATAAGTAGCAAGGGACAGAGATATGATTTACATCAGTGTCAGTTTGATTCCAGAGTATTGTCCTTAACCATGATGCCAGGAGAGAAAACAGTTAGAAAATATTGTAATATCTAACTTAGGTATGCAGATCATTTGTTGTTACCATTACTATTAAAATGTATATATTAGATATTATATATTGGATAAAAACTAGGATGTTATCTGAGTATACCAATAAAGTATTTACAGAATATTTCTCAGATGGAAGTTTTGTGCTAGATATTTCCTAGGATAAAACTTGGTTACTATCTTTAAGAATCCAATTATCTACCAAGGAAGTGAGAATAACTATTTGAGAAATAATTAAACTCTAAGCCATAAGATACTAAGAATAAAGTCAATGGGAGTTTAGAGAAATAGGGTCATGGGTAAAAGGTTGCAGTACAAAAGGACTTCATAAAACCACTGGGATAAACTTGAAAAATAAAGAGGATTGAACATGGCTTGGAAACTTTTAGATTCATAGCTTAATTTGATAAGCCCATTTAAGAACATTTTTCTAATGCAGACTCTATTCAAGGCATTGAAACTACAAAAGATAAAGTTCTAGACTCTACCTTTAAAGAATTCAAATATTTTTTTTAAAGTATATGATGCCAAATACTATCTTGTAAGTTTGTATGAAATGCTATAGACAAATGTAAGAAGCAATTACACCTGTCTGTAAGAAACAAGGACAACCCTTAAAACTCCAGAGAACAAAAGACTTTCAAGCTGGCTGTAAAGGATAACGTAGTAACCGTTGATTCTACTACACTTAACATTGCTCGGTGGACCCCGCCTTCCTGGGGATTGGTAAGGGGATGCTAACATGCTTGCTCTCATTTTTCATACCAGAAGACCTAACTCTTTCCATCCTGGTCTATATTCTCTTTTATGCAGAAGAGCTAAGACAGTGTGGTAGATGGCTACAGGATTTATTGCCTCTAAGAAAGCACTGAAAGTCAGAGAGAGAATAAGAAGGTCTAAGTACTCATTAAATTCTTGGACTTGCATCCTAAAATTTTAAAAAATAAAACATGTATCCCTTGTTTACTGTCTTTCCTTCATCTAGATTCCTAAGTCTTCCTTCAGTCAGAATTAGAATATCACCAACACTGTCAGGGCTACACTCTTTTAAGTTCTTCATATTTGTATGACATTGTAAGATAGGGAGGGCTTTGGTGTCCCAGACAACCTTATTTGACACCTGCATACTCCTTTCTTGATGGTAGCACTTAATTATCTTAAAGCTGGTTGGTTTCCTTCCAAGCACACTGCAAACCATATTGTTAATCTTGTAAATGCCAGTTGGGGTTAAGCTGAGTTGACTTTTTTTTTTCCCACTGTCCTTGTACTTTGGGTTCAGTTTATTTGGCAAAGCTGATTTTTCTTTGCTTATGTCTATTTCTAATGCACTATTAGAAGGCTTTTTTTTTTTAAACATTCCATTAGCAATTCTCTAGAAGCACAGGTTGTAGATACACAGTACAGGTAGAAAGATATACAAAGGCACAGGGTTTGGAAAGATGTTCACAGAATATGAGTTTTTCAGAGTGAATAAAGTATAAGCCTGTTAGGAACTAGAGCTTAAAATGAGAAAATAGCTAAATCTCAGGTTATACATATATAAACCCCAGGCATTTGGACTTTATTCTGTTAAATAAATGGAATAGTAACTGATTTCTGAATCATAAGGATCACTCCTTTAGAAGAATAAAGGATGTGTTAGAAAGAGGCAAGTAGCAATTGTATTAGGGGCATGTGTTAAGCTTATTAAAATAGTCACCAGGGATTAATCTATCTCTAGATTTATTCTAATGTGGTAGGGATTTTTTTTTTTTAATTAGTCCAAACTGGACAGAAGTGGTATAAGAAGGGAGGGAAATACTGGTCTAACTATAAATAATCATCATTTACTTTTTATATATGAGAACTTATATGTAGATTACATCATGCAAAATGCTGGGCTGGATGAAGCACAAGCTGAATCAAAATTTCCGGGAGAAATATCAATAACCCCAGATATGCAAATGACACCACCCTTAAGGCAGAAAGCAAAGAAGAACTAAAAGAGCCTCTTGAGAAAAGTGAAAGAGGAGAGTGAAAAAGGTGGCTTGAAACTCAACATTCAGAAAACTAAGATCATGGCATCTGGTCCCATCACTTCATGGCAAACAGATGGGGAAACAGTGAGAGACTTTATTTTGGGGGGCTCCAAAATGACTGCAGATGGTGACTGCAGCCATGAAATTAAGATGCTTGCTCCTTGGAAGAAAAGCTATAACCAACCTAGACAGCATATTAAAAAGCAAAGACATTACTTTGCTAACAAAGGTCCATCTAGTCAAAGATGTGGTTTTTCCAGTAGTCATGTGTGGATGTGAGAGTTGAACTACAAAGAAAGCTGAGTGCTGAAGAATTGATGCTTTTGAGCTGTGGTGTTGGAGACAACTTTGAGAGTTCCTTGGACTACAAGGAGATCCAACCAGTCCATCCTAAAGGAAATCAGTCCTGAATATTCATTGGAAGGACTCATGCTGAAGCTGAAACTCCAATACTTCAGCCACCTGATACGAAGAACTGACTCATTGGAAAAGACCCTGATGCTGGGAAAGATTGAAGGCAGGAGGAGAAGGGGATGACAGAGGATGAGATGGTTGGATGGCATCACCGACTCGATGGACATGAGTTTGAGCAAGCTCAGGGAGTCGGTAATGGACAGGGAAGTCTGGTGTGCTGCAGTCCATGAGTTCGCAAAGAGTTGGATATGACTGAGCGACTGAACTTTTGATAATTATTTATGTGACTAAAATAATTATAAATTTGTTATGCAAATTGAAGTAAAGTATGCATCCTTATACATTTTCTAGTATTAAAATGTCAATCTGAAAAATATTTCTGTTGACATACTGAAGAAAAGTATTTTCACTGACATACAATTTAAAGATTGTAGCTTACCTTTTGCTCTCATTTTCTCCTGCATTGCTACCTTTCCCTTCCCCACAGTGAAAATCAATTACTAAACTTTTATAGGAGTTGAAATGTATTCTGTGAGTTACTCTCTTCTTTTTGCATCATCTGGTTTTCTGACCAGCAGCCCTTTTTGCTTCTCTTCTCTTACAACCTCCTTTGAGAACCTATAAAACTTTGAAGAATAATAGATTAAACAGTATCCCAGTTTCATGCAATATTGGCAGTCTGGTCTTCACATGAACTATGGTCAGATTTGCCTACATCTCATGACAGATTATACTGGTCCTATTTTATAGATTATATTTCCATATAGCACCTTTTATGGTCAGGATATGTGCTGAGGATTTTATTCACAATTGCTCACAAGAACCCTGAGAGGATTGTGAATGAATTATGCCTCAAAAAAATGAAAAATAAACCTCAGAGACAAGGAACTGCTTATGACTAGAGTTCACAAATGTACAAATTGAGTTTTATAAAATTACTGTTTCCTCAGAAAAATACAAAAAAATGAAAGCCTAATGATAGAGTGATAGTTAAGAACCTCATTTAATAACATCTAAGCATCTCACTCAGAATTTTTTCTTACTTACATTTTTTAATAGATTTATGACTATCCAAAGTGCAGCTGTCTTGCTCAGAAAAAGACTCTAGGGTATGCTGGTATATAATATGTATAGAAGGTAAAGTCACAAATCAATAGAGGAATGTGATTATTCAATAAACAATTACTGAAAAGTTTGTTATGTATTTAGGAAAAAAGAATATCTAAATACATACCTCACAGGATGCAGAAAAAGTTATAGATAGTGTAAGGAGTAAAAGAATAACTCAAAATATTAAAAAGAAATTAAAATGAAAAGGCAGTGATTTTTTTATTACAATTCTGGAAATGTGGAAAACTTTCCAAGTTCAAAATCAATGGATATATCCCAGAGGAAAGGGTGATAGATTTAACTGTATAATTAATACCTTCTGTGCTATGCTGTGCATAGTTGCTCAGCTGTGTCTGACTCTTTGCAACCCTGTGGACCATAGCCCACCAGGCTCCTCTGTCCATGGGGATTCTCCGG